GCCAAAGCTATAATCTTGCAGTTTAATTTCAGTAGCTGAAAGTGGTTTGGGGTGCAATTTCTGCAGTACAGGTAGTGTGAGCCAGGTATGCAATAATAATTTATTTCACCATTCCACCATCCCTCCACAAATCCCCCACAAACAACACATACAGCAGATTATCTTTCTGCAGGTTAATATCCTAAAATTAAGTGAACACTGACCGCAGTGGTTTTTTTAATCATCCAAATAAAGAAAACCTCAAAGGCCTTGTGTAAATGCCAACGTTATATGTTTTATTTTCAATCAAGTAATTCTTTTAAACCTCACAATATCCATGACAGGAAAAAAAAAAAAAAGACATTAGGCATGAAATGAGAATATAAAATACATGATATGTAGAAAGGCAATCAGTGCTTTAGTCCCTCAAGACAGTAAACAGGTGAAATGATCTTCAAAATGTCAACTCGCTGTCTTTTTCTTAAAACATAGAATTCAAGTGATTTTTTTTCCTTTATTTCACCTTGTAAACAACATACAAGTCAAAATGGACAATGAGGTAATCTATACTACAGAAGATAATTTAAAAACACTAGATAAGACACAGTATTAAAGACATATAGAAATCAGTGTTCACTTTGGTCTCTAGTATGGTTATTGTTATTATTACCACAAGCAACACATACTAGTTTAAGCCAGTCTGGTGATGGTTGTCAGCCAGTTGTTGCTTAACATAGTAATCCAAGAGGTAGTCAAAACCATTATCCTTTGTAAAGCTGGTTGCTCTTCCATTTGGTTCAAATAGAATGGTAGCAAATACCTTGGTACTTTTCAACATTCTTACAAAAACACTACCAAAGCTGTTAATTTACAGCTCTGTTTTAGCATTGGAAAGAAGGGTGTGTTCATAAAGCAACCTCTTGCTATCAGTCGGCGGTTGTAACGGGGTCACACACAACCAACGTATCCTAAAGAAGAGGCTGTTGATAAACTAAGCAAAATCAGATTGATGCATTTAATGAGGCTCTGCTTGTTTCTAAAACAATACTCAAATCTCATTAAGACTTCTAGAAAATTAAAATCAGTGCACCTGCACATGTACGCATCTTCCCAATTACTTTTATATCTAGCACAGGGGAATACATATATATTTTTATGATAAACATTTCTTACAGATAAATTAATTAAATTAAATTTAAGACTCAATGAGATTTCCCATGTTCTTTTATAATTCTTCTTACAAAGAATGTTACAAGATCTATAAACACTTTTTATGGGGCTCTATTCACAAAACTATGCATGACTAAGCAGGAACTCCAGGATAACACTGGTGCAGAATAGAGCTGGGCTGAAAAAGATGGCCTACAAAGGGAATAAGTAGGAGTCAGATGTGTTCTTTGGCACTCCCTGAGAGCTAGCTAAAAGCAAAATACTGCAGATGGTACTACAGTGCCAGACTTACCAGCAGCTACAGCAAAAAGTTATTTGGCTCTTCCTCCGAATGTTCTTCACGGCTTAATTTCTTTAGTTTGTAAATAGATTCCATTAACTCTCCCCAGGGGAGAATACAAAGTATCTCATGATGTCCCTTATGGTTAGATCAAAATTGAGTGTTTTGGAGTGAAGGAGATGGAAGGGAGAGATTTCGTTTCGGGTTTAACCTTATCTCCAGTATTGTCTGAAGAAATATACATCTCTCCGAGCTGGTACCTGAGCTCTTTCTACTGAAATGAGTTTTATTGTGAGGCATTCTGGCAAGGACGGGCTGGTGAATAGGGGAAACCAAGGCTGAGCCAATGCTGTAGAATATTAATTACATCCTTAGATTTGAAGGAAGAATCCCAAATTCAAGTCTGTGCCTCTTCCCATCAAGTGTTATTTGCTTATTTGGAGCAGCCTATTGAAGGAGCGTAATTGCATTTTTTTTATTTTTTATTTTTTTCCTACAGCAGCCCAGTGCTAAGTAAGTAGTTACCTGCCATAGCTTGCTCTGCTATGTTTAACTCGGGCATGTATACTTTTGTCTGCTTGGGAGATATTTTTTGTGAACAGTGCCCATCATCCTTTAGACAGAAAAATAAAAACTTCTAAAGAAATGTCTGGAAACTTCTCATCATTTCAAATGGTTGCTTCATCTTAAACAAGTATTTGCCGTGAAGTATGCAGTGGTGAAACATCAGTTACATATTCAGTACAGATAAAAAGTATGTACCATAGATCAACAGCCACCTTTAAGGCCAGAGCAGCACAAAGGTGTGTTTATGCAGTAAATATGAGGTAGCCTTTTGCTGTAAACAGAATAATAATTTTATTGTCGCCTATGTAAACAAAGTGGGCTTGATGTCTTTGTGGTTTTTTTTCCTCTTCCCTCCCCGGGCCTCAACGTGCAGAAAAGCTAAACACCAAAACTCCAACTCGAAGTCAGTGGGAGCTGTGGTTGTGCAGCTTCTCTGAAAGCTCAGACCCTGTGAATGTAGACACATATGCTCACATAAGCAACCAGTACAGAATGCCACTTTTTCACTTCACAGGAACTTATAATACAAAACGCTGAAATCTGATTATCAGAAATGTAGGTCTATGTCAACTCAGAGGTAGTTACTAACATCAGTACATAATACTTATAGAGAGATAAAAAGGGCTAAGTCTATCTGGTTTGTTCTGAGTAAGTCGGTAGACTATTCTGTAAAGTAAAAACAACATTACATGGTATATTCCCTGAGCAAAGTTCTTTGTCCTGAGTATGTTATGTAATAGTGATAACATTCTAATATATAAAAATAAAACCTTAAGCTATCAACAATAAGATAGGGTTTGGTATGTGCTCTTTGCAGTTCAGTCTGACTTCGGTGCACACAGTGATTTCAAACAGCACCAATAAAAATCTGCCCATTGAAAATATTTCCTCATCTCAGCTCTGAACTTCTTACATATAAACAGGGAATGACCAGTTCTCAAATCCACAATTGCCTATTTCTATAAGGAACTTTGGTTTAAACATTCAAAGTGACCTAAGTTTTGCATCTTTGCTGTTTAACCTGGGTTTTTACACCGGCTAGAAGGTTAAGCAATGCCACTTTGATTTGTCTACATAATTTAAATAGGTTTACTATCCTCACGTAAGGCAAGGAAGTTCTCTATAGATATATCACATTCAATATCGTCAAAGGTAAGCTTTGCATTTAGCACACTGAGAACTTCAGTACAAACCATTGAGATTCTCGCAAACACTGGCTAGGAATTCACACAAAATAATTGTCTGGAAATTGTGCCCTTTGCTGAGGCTTTTTCTTACTGCCTGTTTACTGAAGCAGCAGCAGCAGCAGCAGTACAAGTCTCAACCAGCAGGACGGTTGGGAAGGGAGCGGCCACACAGTGAGCCATCGGCTGCAGGAGTTCCAACATCTGGGACTTGGGCTCACTGCAGCCTCCCATGCGGGCTGTTTCTTCTGTTTGATTATCTTAGCTTAAACCTACCTGACTCTTTCAAGCTTTAACAGGCTGTGCTTATTGCCAATGCTAAGGATTACATACGTTTCTCTAATTAACTTACATCTGCAATGGGATTTGTCAAAGTATGTTATCGTACGTATGACTTGGTAATGTAGAAGTTACAAATGGAAAGTGACTTGAAGTTTTGACAGGCTCCAACTCTATTAACCCCCAGCAAGGGCTGCAGCCCAGGGAGTCTCACTCTGAGACCACCAATCTTCCTCCTCTGTAATGCAGAAGTGTGTGGTCCCAGCACACACCAGACCATGGCTGGTCAGCAGCAGTCTCCCGTTCACAAGAAGCAGGTGATGTCCACGGCTTCTGGCAAGTTTGCAGGTGCCTTTTCACTCAGGTTTGTACACAGCAGGCACCTGTCCTTCTTTAACGTACATGTGCTGCATCATCAGAAAGAGAGGCTGGCTAAGCAACTGTGAGTACCCAATTACCTTTTATCTTAAGGAACTATTTATCTCAGGATCTTATTAGTTTTGCATTTCGTTTTCTTTAGAAACAAAACAGACAACAACAACAATAAAAATCCCTACACAATTCTCCCAACAGTAAATAAGGGACAAGTCCCCTTCAAATTGCAGGGCACTACCTGGGACCAAGAGAAGTTGCTGCTGCTGCTGCTGCTGCTACTACTGCCACCGAGGTCCCCTAAACGTTCACAGAATACAAAAGGTTCAACAGAATGGTATCCCGATACCACTCAAAGAGGTTTGCTCTTTAACAACTTACACAGTCTCCCCTACACAACAATCATCTAAATTACAGTTACACTCATATTACTTTAACAAAACATTTTGAGAAACCAGCACAGAAACTACACATTCATTGTCTTTTCTGGAGCTTTAAACTCCTTACCACCAAAGGACGGTGGCAATGAGAGCTATGTTTAGTTGTGACACTGCCCTTCTGAGGCATGGGGGAGGAGGGGTGGGAATGGGGAAAGTGATGTTTTGTGGAGATGACAAAGAAAGTAACTCAAATTGATGGCTGGGGGATGTCTTAGTATCTTTAGTACCATATGGCAGCTTTAAAATATGAACATATCCTTTGGTTCACAAGAAAGTAACAGTCTTTATCTTAGTTCTGAGTGTGGTTTTTCAGATTTGGTTTGTTTCATTTTGCGAGGTTTCTTGGGTTTTCTTATTTGTTTTTTGAACATGTTTGAAAACAGATTCTGGGAACGAGTTCAGGAACATTTATGGGTACTGTGTCTATTGCTTCACAGTAACATTGTGGGAGCTGGAGAGTGTCCTGATGAAAAAAATATATACTCATAGATACGTATACATACACGCACGTGCACACTCACACACACATACAGAAGGTAAAATGCAATGCACCCTGCTCAAATGGATTTTGCTTGGAGTGATTTGTCTATTAAAGAAAAAAAAAACCACAGTTCCTCAACAGTAGTTAAAATTCCACATCAGCTACTGATAATGAAATTATTTCCCCTGTACTTGCATGAGGTAGACATCCCAAGAGGATAAAGAAAATGGAAAGTTACGGAAAATGCTTTAAGTTTTTTTCCTTTTCTGAACAGAAGGCCCCTTTCTGCTCGGTTCTTCGGGTGATGCAGATAACTTACTTGAAGAAGCTTCTTGTGGCGACCTGCCTGAACGCTCTGAGATCTCTGACCTTCCCTCCTGAGAATACGATGGAGATGAATAGCCATACGTTCCTCCCCCTTCTCTCAGGAAAGCAGAAGTGGAAGGCTGGGGTTCAGCTTCATGTCTTCCCTGAGAACTAGTGGGCTGTTGTGAAACAGTTTTATGGGGGCAGTTAGCCACCATGTGCATGATGCTCTGACAGTAATGGCACTTCTTTGGCTGTGGAGGTAGACTACATTCTTTAGCATGGTGATCGAGGCCACCACAGTTGTAGCATCTAGAAATGAAAAGAGACAGCTGGTTATAAAATGCAGCATGAAATTGTCAAGATTTTTTTATGCATCATAAACTCAGAGGGCAACCTGTCTGCTGGTGAAGCAGCAAGAGCATCTGCACTGACATCCCACTGCCGCAAGCAGTTTTGCTTTTTAAGTAACACACTTGGAATGTGCCCCTTTGTCATGCTGGTAAAAAAACAAACAAAAAAAACCAAACAACAAACCAACTAACCAAACACTTACTGGGAAATGGATTCTGTTACCATAGTCCTTATCAGTCAGTATCTTGCTATGAAAAACCTTGGTACTCCTTGAACAAAGACCAGCCTTAAGTAGCTCCTAACTTGCGGGACCTTTCTACTGGCTGACAGGGGCTGAATCTGTTGGCAAGCACAAGCAGGGGCCTAATTATACTTTGATGAAAGCCTTTAGATGCCTCAGGGCCCTCGGTGGTTAAGATGAGCCCCTGCACCATGAGAACAACACTGCAAGGATCCTGCTGTCAAAAAAGCCACTGGCAATGTACAGCTACATTAGGAAACCCTGCTGCACACTGAGAATTTCATGAATACAACGCTAAAATCCTGAATGCAAAAATCAAATAAACAAGCAAAAACCCTGCGTCGGTCCTTCTTCCTGGCTCTCCCCAGAGGAGATGCTGGGGTTCAGACATAGCTCCGACCCCACTAGAGGGCACCAAATATTCATGCATCTCTGCAGCAAACAGCTCTGCTTACCCAAGTATTTATACATTCAACTCCTGTGAGCTACTACTTCATATGCCCAACAAGACAGACATTTCGGAGCAGGGAGAGGAGAGGGGGCAGCCACCAGGACCCAGCTCTTCACTCAGGGTGATGTTTCAGTTCATGAGTTGCTGGGTCATGGCCATAAAGAGAAACAAACAGGGAAAAGACGTTTGGCCTTTCCTAAGGAGCTGCCTCAGACTATGCCATGTCTCCTAGAATGTGCTGCCTTTTCTCTGATACTCTGTGCCCAAAAACTCTTCAGCCTCATAAGAGATCACGTCCGAAACCCTGCCTCAGCTAAGGCACACCAAGGGGAGGTTTGCAGCCAAGCTTTTACGATGCTTATGTTTCAGAGGGTTGGTAATGGCTTTTATGGTTTAAATTCAAAACAAAATAAATAGATCCCTAGCAAGAGTCATAAAACAGGGTTTGTTTGTTTTCTCTTGGAATTCCCAAACCGCATTGCAAGTGGTGGTGACCTGGGGTGTCATCTTCAAAAGAACAGCTGCCAGAGGCAGACACACGGCAGAGCACCTCTTCCAAGCTGCAGGGGCAACAGCAAGTCTTTAAAATGGCCCAAATGTAAACACTTCTATTAATCTTATTATCAAGAAATCTCCAACAGTTCTTTGCTCTTTACTCCCTCTTTATAACATGCACCAGGAATGTGAACCCTTGAGTTATATTAATCTGACACCTGATACAGGGAAATAATTACCTGATGAAATTATGCTGGTCATGTCCACCACTGGACTTCTTACTTTGACTATTTTTCTATGGTTCTCCTTTTTTTGTATTACAAATACTTGCACCGAATGCATATGGATTAAATCAACTATCATCTTAGCATTCTGCTGAAGAGAACTAACCCAATAATGATTTTTTTTTTCTTTCCCTTAATTGCAAGAATCAATTAAAAAGAAAATAGCACAAATACTCATGCTTGGTACAAGCATGAAGAATTCAAGAAGACTCTATGTACAAGCAAATGCAGGTATATTTATAATCATGCAACGTGCTTTTGCTCAAGCCCACATCAAAATCTTCAGATTCCTGGGCAGTACCACGGCACTGTTCTGAGCTTGCATTCAGTAATCACTGTTAGTCTACATAAGCCCAAGAAGTTTTGCCCATGCAAAGCTGTATGTATAGCTGGTGTCTCACAGAATATATGTTGTCTACATAAAAATGTTACTGATAAAACCTGTGCAATTGATAAAAAGGCTACAAAATGGCTGTTGAAGTTCACAGAACCGCTCTAAAGAAACAGTCCCAAGAGCCTCTCTATTCATATTTCTTTTTCCTTACTAGCAAGATGCTAACCCTATCTTTATTTCAAGAGACTAACAGAAAATTTTAGGTGAAATGGTTCTACTTCTTCACCATCAGTGTACAGAATTACATGATTTTCAGAGAAATTTGAAGGCTATGCCAGCATTAGTCTGCCTGTACATAGTATGGAATAACTCATGAGTAAATCAAGTGTAAAGCTTCCCTTCATCCAAGGAGAGAATATGTAGAAGCCCCACTGTCATTTTGTACACATCTTCCTAGCAAAAAAATACTACACATATTGTAAAATATGAATATCCTAGTTTGAGACACAAACATTAAGCCTTTTTCCTTGTAGTATAAAAAGTTTTAAGTTAATAAACAATATAAACTGAGTGCTTTTTTTGCAAATCATTGTAGGTATTTTTAAATTAATGGCCTTGCTTAACAGCAGCATTCAGTCTTAACAGGCATTCAACTATATTTCCCTGACAGGTTTACTAAACATCATCTGGTTAAAATGATAAGACAGTAAAACTTGCAATTGGAAAAACATAGGAACAGCAACAAGACCCCTACAAGAACAGCAACAACAAAACCTCTTAAATGTTTTACTTTCTCTCCCCCCAGTAAATACAGCTAGGACTTCACAAATGTGGTATTTATTATAATGAAGGCTATATTAAAGAATGGTATTTATTAATGTCCCGTGAGTTTGCTTCTAGCAGTGAACTAATTCCTAGTTTTTTTTTCAATCTAAGTACAGCATAATACAACATCACTCATGAGCGTGCCTTCAGGAAAAAGTGCATTTTACCTTGATTATGAAACACAGAATTTTATAGCTGCAAATGCATGTGTTGGCTTCCTTCTGTAACATCACATTTATTTAGGATCATCAAAAAAAGTCTGAAAATAGGTTAAAGGGCTTCAGTAGCAGAGGAGGTGGTAGCTGTGGACAAATCAATTTAATCAGTCACTATGGTATGCGCTGTGTTATCCAATTCAGTGAACCATTTCACCTCACCAATTGACCAAGAACCTGCTGTCAGGGCCCCCGTTTCCACTCAAGAGGCCTCAGTCACCTTTTGCATATATTTTTACCAATACATCTTGCAAAATATTCTCTGCTTTTATTCAAATCCCTTGTAAAATGTCACTGTAAAATAAAATACTGTCTGCAGCCGCTGTAATTAAACTATGATTTGCCTTTTCAGGAATGCTTTTTGTGACTAACCAACCCAAGCATCTGGCTATAGCGTTGCATTAGAATACGTATGTGCCAGCCTGGCTGTGCCTGGACTTAAACAGGGGGGTGGTATTCACTCCCTTCTTTTAACTATGTATTCATTCCTTGTCAATCACTCCTACCAAGAGAAGAGATCACACCCCACACTCAGAAGCCTTCCCTCTCAAGGGATTTACACCCAAAGGAAATGGGCAGCCATCTCGGGAGCTCACAAATGACACCACGTGGCAGCATCCACGCACATTAAGGTATGGTATTAACCCTTTGTCCAAAAGGCTTCAGCTCTTGCCTTGTCTCTGCCGTATAAACCTACATTACAACATAATGAATACTGATAATGTAGATACTTGCACACAGATTTATGTATCCACAGTGCTATCTCTACAAATACATAGGACAACACGCAAGCTGGCTCCTGCTAAGAAAATCAGCACGCTCTCACTCAACTGTGTTTTCAAAAACTCTACCTAAGTGCAACTGCAGTAAATACTTCTTCAGAAACACCATGGAAATAATGTAAGTTAGACACTAAGTAAAGCTGCCTGTGCTCATTGCATCATGAGATGAATAAACCACAAGAAGCCCTTAGAAGTGCCTCTACAGTAGGAACAACCCTTACAAAAATGCAACAGCAAGAAAGATTCCTAAAAAAGGAATCTCCTCTCATGATTTACTGCTAGCTTTAGGCTCAAAATAATGCAACAATGTAAATAGAGATGGCAATTATCCTGAAGGGGAATCCTTCCTTCACTACAGCAGAGGCAGGAAGGGGGGATCAGGACGCGACAATGATATAAAAAGGATGAAGATTTTAACGAAGGAATGTCTTGAGGAACTTATCTAGCACTGTATTTCAGTACTCTCCAAAAACCAGTAGCGTTAGTTTCTACTAATAAAGAAAGAACATATCACAAGATATGTTCTAAATCACAAGACACTTCTAAATTCTCCTTTGCTATGGATTTGTGTTTACACAGAACTACACACAGAAGAAACAAATGAACAAGCAGAAAGCCTATGGATTCCAACATAATCTGTTGTGTTAATTCCAAAAAGCCGATGACCACAAATTCACGACAAGTACGCCAAACCACAACCAAATGCAAACACAAAATAAAATACAGCTTTCAGCTGTTTTGCCTTGTCCCAGTAGTCCCCTCATAGTCAGGAAGCAAGCACTCTCTAACCCTCTCACCTTTAGCATGACAACACAGCCATCAAACCAACACGTTTCTCACAACAACAGCTCAGCTGAGCTAAGCAGTAAGGAGGGTAAGCACAACCGCCTGCTTCTTCATTCTGCTTCACGTAATATGATTTGGATGATAATCCAATATATACGACAAGAGGAGGATCATTTGTGTGGCTCCACTCTGTTGGGGGAAAAGCATTAGGGTTGCCCTAGTGACTATTTTTGGGGGTAGTGGTTTTCATATCTGATGGAGCTTGCAAGGGGAAGTAAGGAGGAAGAGTGCAGAATGTCTGAAATAATTCACTGTGATATTCCCAACACCAGCTCCCCTTTCTATTTTTTTGAATGCTATCAGATAACAAAAGCTGCACCGTGGTAAACAATGCTTCATCCAGCAGTTCAAATGCTTTGAAAAACAGCTAGGTTTCATAATGGCATATGCAAGTATGATGTTTTCACAACGTGCTGAATGCCAGCAAAGCAGTTAAAGCGGATCAAATAATTACAAGGGAATGCTTAAAGCCATACCTGGCTAGA